ATAGGTATCTTTTTATTCATAACAGTCTTGACTTTAGAAAGACAAAAAATATGCAACTGTAATTTGTTCCAGCAGATGCAGAGAATTTAGTATCTCTTGCATTTGATTTAATTACATGAAATTACAGGTGCCTTGGTTCAGTTTTGTACTGCAATATGAATACTGTTAATAAAGGTTGAGATTGTAGTTGGAAAACATTTTTTTTTGAGTGATAATTTTTGAGCAAGTAAAATATGTAATAACCATCTCTCAATGTTGTGATTTCTGTTGTTGAATAGTGATGGACTGGTCATACTTGCAGCAGCATGGCATCCTGGAGATCGTCCATGTCTTGTCTACTACACTCTGATAACAGTAGAAGATAAAGGCTATCAGATGTCTGATGATGTTGTTGTGGAGGTCACACAGTATAATCCATCTTTTCAGGTGTGCTAATGGAGGTTCTGATACCGACTTAAGATTAAGTTCAGTGTCAGGTTTTTGTCTAAAGGAAAATCAGTTTCCCTTGGAAGTATGTATTTGTAATACTCTGAGGAAAATGTGTACTAGCATCTCTTAATGTTTAATACTAAATGTATGTAAAGTTTATGCTTTGCATTTCAAGTTAGAAGATAAAACCCTCAAAAATAAGTGTAATCTGATTTAATTTTTGTGCTGTCTTTGAAAGTTTCTACAGAGTGATTTTAATGTATGCTCTTGTAATCCATTTAGAACAGATCTCAAACTTTGAGATTCTTGTGGGACAAGGAATTACGAGGTCTGGTTTTTGGTCCTTGCTAGGCAGCTGGCTTGCTCAGAGGGGAGGACACATTGGTTGTGTGTGTCGTGTCACAGCACATTGTGCTGTGTCTTCTGGAAGCATAAACCTGGAGATTAGATTGCTTTGGTAAACTTCTTCCACTCTTCCCTCTCTTCCCATTGCCTGTAATGGCATCTTAAAGCTCAAAAGTGGAAGAAGAGTGTGAAAACTGTTGAATAATTGTTGTGTTTACTTATATCTCCATATGAAATTATCAAGAATATAATGCATATGGAAGGGGAAAAAAAACCCCAGCATCTAAAATTTTTGGGCAAAATAAAAGTGATTTTGTTTGGTTTTTTAGGTTGTAAGTTACATCCATACCTCATTGTTAAAAAGTAAAACAAGTTCAGGCAGCATGGATTCGCATTTAAAATTTTAAATATTTAAGGGATTGATTACATATGTGATATTGTTTGCATTCAACCCTTTCAGTCAGAAGATGAAGTGTTGTGCTGCCTGGTAGTCCCAGATTACTTCAGCCATGCTGCTTACCTTTACAAGGAAGATGAAGTGTTTGCTTGTTCCACTGGAACTGGCAGAATTTCATTACCACAGGAAAAAATCATATTTGGCATACAAGGTAACTTGCTGTGCAGGGAAGTCACATTTTTTTGGTACCTCTTAATTCAGTATTTTTACAGTATTTGGATATCTCAGAGAGCAGTGTCACATTTGTGTTCGCTTATTAAATGTTTCAAATTGGGAATGTCTCTTGAGTGTATGGAGACATGTTGATGTGACAGCCAGTCACATTGTTGCTCTACAGTGTTTCAAATGAAAATGAAGCAGATCCCTGTTCTTGGTGTAGGAAATCATGGGGGATTTTGCTTGTAGGGCTTTTTCCTTGGTTTTTTTCTTTCCTAACATTCACTGTGGGTTGATTTTTTTTTCCTTGAAGTTAACTCAGTGCCAGATGTGTCTAGCTGTGTCATCCTTGACCTTCGAAGGTGTTTTCAAGTACAACAGGAACGTCAGTCCTTATGTAGAATTTGAATTAACTGAATCTTGAATTTTTTTGTTTGTTTCTTCTCTTTTCTTCCTTTTTTTTTTTTTTAACACTTGCAGTATCTGGAAGTTGATATCTAGAGTAGCAAATAGTTCCACAATTTTTCTAAGTCAGGTGCAGTTATCAATTACTGTTGGTTGATTAATGACAAAAGTCAATAATTGTCTATTAAACTCTTACGCTTTAAATAAGGTGGTAACTATGTGCTTGTTTTTTTTCCCCCCTCTTTATTTTAGGAGATAGTATTTTAGGAGCAGGTTCCTGTAATAGCCTTCCTGTCTTCTTTGCCAAAAAAAGTGGACTTCTCGCTATCTTGTCCAGGGAAAATATTTCTGTGCTTCCTGAAGACCTTGAAGATGCTCTGTCCTCTTCTACTGCTGGACCAAGAAGTGAGGTAATGGTTATTTGCTTGCCTGGTTGAAAACAGGGTGCAAATAAAGTGTTTTATGTTACTTTTGAATTTTCACAATGGAAATCCTGGCTTGTTTGGGTTTTAAAGGTTTTTTTTTGGTTTTGGTTTTGTGTTTTTTTTTTTAATAGAGACTCAAACACTTGTAATTAAGGCAGTTTTCAAAACAAAAATATTTACATGTGCCAGTTGGCATAGTTTGTTTTTTTTTTCCTTTGTTTCACAGTTGAGGTTTCCATGAAATTTGCATTTTTAACTTGTAAGTGTGTTGCTGTCAATCACTAGGCCTAATGTAACCCTATAATCAGTTATTATTTACTGGTATTTTAGTGGAAGGCCTTTGTGTGATTGGGCTGATGAAACTGTTTTTCTTAACAAACTAGTTTCTAGTTAAGTTTGTCTGCAGTTAAACTTTTTTTGTGGCTGATAGTACTCAAGAATATCTTTTGAATCCTGTCAAAAATGGTGGGTTTGAATCTTCAAATAATTATCATTAAAATCAGATGGGCGGAGTAAGTTGGTGTAAGTTCCTTTGCAGATGGTGTGAATTTTGGTCAAACCTCTGTGTGACTTACATTGTAATGAATGTTAGAGGTTTATGTTTGACATACTAATCACAACTACTTCCAGGTGATAATTTAATTTTGAACCTGTGGCATTACTACTTAAAAAATTTGTTTTCATTTCATGAGGAAGATTATTATTTGTCTTGCAGCTGAAGTTTTTATTTTGCATTTTCAGAGTCCTGCATTTGATGCAACTGGTAGGCTAGAAGTTATAGCTCAAGAAGATAAAACCAAATTATTGAAAGCTGCTTTTCTACAGTACTGCAGGTAGAAATTGCACTTTGTTTTTGAGACTTTTTTTGCTGTTTTTGAAGGCACTCTGGTATTTGAGTAAGAGATTGTCTTGGTTAGGATACTCCTGTGCTAATTTAGCTGTAGCTTTTTTAATGCACACCTCTTTATTACAAAAGCTTGGGCTAGTGTAGATATGTGCTAGAAAGGAGCAGACTTCTGTAATCTCAATCACTTGTCACATGCTCTGTGTAAGTTTTATGGGTACATTTGTGCCAGTGAAGCAACTTTGCATTTTGACTTCTTTATTCTTTAGTAAGTGGTGTTTTGTTGAAAAAAACTTTTTTGTCCTCATTTTTATTTGCCTAGCTATTTTCAGTAATATTTTTGAATATACTTGTGGCCATGAAGATTAACTGGTATGGCAGACTTTGGGCAGGATGATTTTTTCTTTCAGATTGGTTGGTGTGGAAGAATGACTGTAAAAAAATACCCTGTTTCTCAAACTATCCTGATTAAAACAGTTGGAGTGTGGGGAGGCATGTGATGCTCCTGAAAGGTTTGATGTTGAGATGAGTGATGTAAACAAAGGAGGGAGAGGAGAAACAAGAAGAAGATAAACAGATCTGTAGGCTTAGATTGATTATATTTAGAGGGGACTGTTGTCAATATTTATTTATTTAAAAAACAAAGCAAACAACCCACACACCCTCTTAGGACTAATCTCCTTAAAGAGTCTTACAACTTGGAAAGAACAGGTTCAAGATAACAAGAAGGTAGGAGTGCTTTTGCCATAGAACTTAATGTGAGGTAAAAGATAATGAAGGGGATTAGGCAGAGAGAATAAAGGATACCAATACAAGATCTTTAAACAGGCGCAGAATTTAGACAAATTCTGCATGTGTTCAGAAGTGTCATTAAACAGAAGTGCTACTGAACATGGCTGGAATAGCTGTGGTCTGAGAGCACAGTTAACAGTTTATTGAGGATCTGTCCAGGGGGGATGGAAATTGAAGGAATTGGGAGGTAGTAAGGAAAACAGTATGAAACAGTATAAAAGTTGGAAGTTATTTCAATGAAAATCTGGGTTATATTTATGAAACTAGAAGAAAATAATATTTTTATGTATGTAGTAGTTATTCTGATTTTTTTTCCAGAAATAAATAGCCTGGTAAAATGAATGGAGCAGTATTCCACAGAACAGATGTAGCAGTGGCCTGTCCAATGGCCAGTGAGTTGATACAGACCAAATAATGGGAAGGTGGTGCGGCCACTGGAAGTGTAAAGTGTACCAGCTGTACAGTGAGCTCTGGCAGCTTTGTAGACCTAATGATCTTTAGAGGGGATAGGAAGTCCTATGGAAAGATCAAGTTGACCTTTCTGAGGGTACTTCATGATTGGAAGGAGCTAGTAGAGGCCCATGTAAATTCCTTAGAAACACATCCTGCTGGGTAGTAAAGATGGGACTTTCTTTTTTAAAAGAAGATTCAGTTTATTCCAGTTTTTTAAAAGTATCCTTTGCTTTAGTTTACCTTCCTTCAATTTCTGGATGCACTGCTGGGTTAGTTTTTTTTTTTTTAATTCGTAGACATCTTGGTCATTTAAGTGTTTGAACTGAAAGTTTCATGAAAAATATAAATAATTCCAGTGTTGGACTGACAATATCCCTTCTCAGTCAGAATACTATAATTTTTTAGTCACAAAATCAAATCCCTGGGTTTTGTGTATGTTGCATAATTCTTACATAGAAGTACCACTTCATACCTTGGAGGTCTCTGGTTGCTTCTTGCTCTTTTACTTACTCATATGAATAAGAGAGGATTCTTTGAAATTATAGGAAATAAAAATAATGCATTGTATTTGCTGAAGCATTTTCCTGAGAGCTTTTATGAACTCCCCCTCTATTGCCATTAGTAGAAGTGATTGAGAAAATTAGAAAATTTTAAAGCAAGCAATAGAAATTCAGTGACTTTACTAAGATACATCCAGGCTTAACTCTGTGTGATGAGTCTTTTCTCTTAAATAATAATAATAGAGGTAGTAAAAAAAAGTGTGCCTTGACTCCTGGTCTGTGCTTTTTTTATTTATAAGTTGTGCAGCCTTCTTGCTTTTAAAGAATTGGAGTACCTTTTATCTACAGTTAGTTTAGAGAGAGTTCAAAAAATTCTTGATGTATGTAATCTAAAGAACTTCACAAAAGGTGTATCAGAAAATCCTGTTAACTGAGGGGGATTTTTTTCTGTGATCCTGTTGGTTGATTTTATTTAGCATACTTTGTTTCATTTATTTCAGGAAAGATGTAGTCAACGCACAAAGCATGGTAGTTGAGCTCTTTCCAAGTAATGCAGATCTGGAGTCTGATGCTGAACTGGACAGAGCAGTGACTCAGATCAGTGTGGACTTAATGGATGATTACCCTGCCTCTGATCCAAGATGGGCTGAGTCTGTACCTGAAGGTAGATAAAATGTGTTAGTTTTTGAGCTTTTTGGTTTGTGGTTTTGTTTGTTTGGTTGGTTGCTTTGTTTTGTTGTTTGGGTTTTTTTTTGTTTGTTTGTTGTTGTTTTTTCTGAAGTAGTATCTATAACATTCTAGATAACATTATACTTTAAGCTTTGCAAAGAAGGCATAAGTGTCCCTTGCCCTCTATCACCACTAGATACATTTCCAGAAAGACTTAAAGATGCATCTTTTGATCTTACCAGATAAGCTTGCAGTCTGCTGTGATTAGTTCTTGACTTCGTGCAGTAAACACAAACAGCAAGGAAAACATATTTCTGAGGAGGGTCCTTGTGCAAGGATCAGATGGCATCACTTTAGTATTTCCACAATTCCTTGTGTAGTTTTGAATCATTTTCCAAAAAATAGATGTGTTAAGAGAAGGAGCTTATTTGTTCATTCTTAGCCCTGTTGTCAGTGTGACTGCACAGCTTCTGATCACCTTGGATCCTGGGTAGAGTGAGCTTGTATTCCTCTGGGGCACTGGTATTTATATCTGCCTGAAAGAGAACTAGAGAAATTGGTTTATGAGTATTTGTTGTGCATAAAGGATTAAAGCAGACATGTTTTCAGCAAGAAACTTCTTTGTTCATGCTTTGGTGTCTCTTACAAAAGTTTTAATTTGAAAGTAGCCTCAAACCTCTAGGCTGTAGTTGCCAGTTACAGAGTAGAGGCTTAATTTGAAAGTTCATGTAAATAGTTACAGATGGGTGATGTTTCCTGTTGTTGTTTGTGTGGCGCAGCTAGTTGGAAATTGTCAGGCATCACATCCTCGCTATTTTCTGAATCAACTTTATTTTTAATTTGGCAGCCTGTCTGTGCTTATTCCTGACTAAAGCCAGAAATGAAAATTGATAGCTTCTTGGAAATCATTTTGCTAAGTTTGCTTAGTGATAGCTCTTCCAAGTTTTTTGTCTTGATATTACAAGCACACTTAGTTTATACAAAAAAATCTGGATGCAGAGTCAATTAGATCTGAATGCTTGTTAACACTGTAGCTTCTAGTAGCTGTGGTCTAAGGCATAATAAATTTAGCAATAGCTAGTCCACCATGAGGATAAAAATATGAGTCTGGATCCTACTAAAACTAGAATATGCTCGTGAGCTGCTATTTTAGCAGCATAATGAATTGAATATTTCAGAATAGTACTGATCTAAAGATACTTTATTTCTTCTAAAAGCTTTTCTTCAGCCATTATAGACTTGAATTAGATTAAAAATAGCATAGTAAGCAGTATATAAATGTGTGTGCATATACTGTAAAAAGTACCAGTGTGGTACCACTAAAAAAATTGACAGATCAGTTTACCTCAGAGGCACAAAACATCCAGAAATTAAGATATCAAGTGCTCTGACCTAAGCTTTTACTTTTTTTAGAAGCAGCTGGTTTCAGCAACACATCTCTCATTCTTCTTCATCAGCTAGAGGATAAGACAAAAGCACACTCGTTCTTCATTGAGTTTCTTCATCAGGTAAGTCCTACTGTTCTTTGGTATCAGCACACACAGTTTATTACTTTGTCTTGATTCCTCTAGAACACCGTTTAAAGTGTATGGGGTGTTTTGTTTTGGTTTTTTAATAAAAGGTTGGTGTATTTGAGCGTCTGGGCAGTTTTCCAGTGCGAGGGATGCTGATGGCCACTCGACTGTTGCTCTGTGAGCACGCAGAGAAACTGGCAGCAGCTATTGTTCTCAAGAATCACCACTCCAGGCTGCCTGAACTGGTGAATGCTGCTATACAGATTGCATTGAACAAAAGGGAATGTGATGTTCCAGCAAGCCTTACCCCTGCTGATGTGTTCTTCAGGGAGGTAAGAAACACGTAATTCCTGAATTACTGTATAGCCTTGCACATAGTAAATGTTACAGTGCTTTGAAATGTACTTTGAAACTTTCCCCTGTGAAAACTGTAAAAATAAATTGAACTTTACACAACTACCCTTTAAATAGGGATAATGTGGTAGTATTTCCCTCACTTTGGTGTATGTACTTTTTTGTGCCTGCATCTGAAACTTGATTTCTGACAAATTTTATGTAGCCGAAGTAAAGTTACAATTTCCAGCTACCCAACATGGATAAGTAGTGAAAAGGAGAACTGAAATTCTCTGACACATAAGATGCATGCTAAATTATAATTTTTAAGGAATGAACGAATGAACTAAAGCTTATGAAGCTTTCCTGATAGGAGAGCTGCTTTGATGAGCTGTCCTGGATGGAATTACATTAGTTCAGTCGGTTATAATTTTTGTCCTCTCTAACATTAGTCAAGCTAAGTTAGTTCTCAGTTTATGCTGCGTTCCGGTCAAGTGCTCCGTTTTTATTTCTTTCTTCCTTCTTGAGAAGAACTATGCACAAAACATTTATTCTTAGGAAGTCTTTTACTGCAGAGAACAATAGTTGCTAAGGGAGAAAAATAAATATAAAAGGAAACAGAAATAATATTCTGCTATTTTAAAGCAGATATGTTATCCAGTATACTTTATGTGACAAAGATTCTTCTGCTAAATATTCCAGAAGATGATGGAGGAATATGCTTAATGGAAGTGTATGAAGTTGTCTTATCCTCAGAAATGAGGATTTTTTTTCTTTCAGATTTAAGTCCAGAAAGAAGGTATTTTTTGTAGTTTTAACATAAGCTTGTTATCTCATTATGCATTAGGGTAGTTGATACCTTTTAATATTTTTGGCTGTGTGGTTTATACTAAGGTACTTAATTTTTCTATACAGCTCTTAGCTTTCAGGTATCAGCTGATAGTGGACATGTTTGTGTTCAATGTAACTTTTCTTCCTGTCTTCAAGGTATCCCAGATAGATTCCATCTTTGAATGCTTATTAGAAGAGGAGGAGCAAATCCTGAAAGACATGCCTATTGAATCAATTGAGTGGGCCCAGATAGTTGTCAATGTGAACAACATCATTAAGGTACAGAACTGCCTTAACCAAGATGTTTGTGGGAGGGGAAGATAAACATTGAAGTGCACAGAACAAGTTGAGTGTGGCACATCCAAGTTACTGTCCTGTGAAGAAAAATGAATGTGCTTTTTACATGTCCAAATACAGCAGGAAGGAAAAGATATCCTTGGGTGGAATTACATTCCTTTTCTTCCTGAGCCACTGTTAAATATAATTTGAGAAGTTGCAGCTTTGTTGGAAGTTGCGAAGTCATGAATATGTAGCAAAGAGTGAAGAGCTTGTGTTTGAGCACAATTTGAGCACTGAGGTTTCTTGCTCAGTCAGTATGTCCCCTTCTGTCCAACTGAGAAAGGGGTGTAGAAAGAATGTGGGTATTGAAGGAACATTTCAGAATTACAAAAGACGGCATCTTTTGTGGTCTATGTATACTGAGGTAGACCTTAAAATACTGACATCCTTACCTTTCAACAGGATATGCTACAAGTTGCCTGTCAGTATCGTCAGTCTAGAGCCTCTTTATATAAAACAGGTGAACTTCCAGAAAGAGAACCTGAATATATTCCATGGACAGGTGAGAAATTACTATTACAAGTTCATAAGTTTCAGAACACATGAATTTCAGTCTGAATTTTAAACTTTCTGTTAAAAGCTGCTACAGGGTTGTCAGTGAGAGTAAGTGAAAATGAAGTTTTCATTTGGGGAATGAAATTGTTAATCAATGAACTCTTAGTTTGTCCAGTACTGGTGATGCTTTTTTTAAAACTTGCATTGCAAATTTGGCAATAAAACCAAAAATTTGGGAAAGAAAACTAGTTCTAGAATTTTTATAGATTTTTTAATGCATTGGTTCTGGTTGACAGATCTGTGGGGTACATAACATTAAAATAAATCATAAAATGTAATCCATAGCTGTTTTAAAAGGACTGATGATTCTGTGCTTGCAGAAATGTTGTTTTGTTTTGATGGTTTAATAGTGTGAAAAACTATCAGAACAAGTGTTCTCAGAAGCAAGCACTTTCCAATTGATTCTTAAGCTTCCTTGTAGCCTCTACATGTAAATCACGTTTGTTTAGTCCTTCTAAGACAGAAGTCTTGCAATCTGCATTCCTCCTCACAAAAGCAGGACCATGCAAACTCTTTTGATCTTGTGTTTTGATGACTATATCAAAATTTTTAAATCAGGTTAACAGAAGTTGCCTTTTCCTTGTGTGTATTCTCTTACTTTACTTAGAAATAGTGCAAGTAATTCTTTTCTTCTGGAAAAAGAGCTGATGTTGGTAGTTGGCAGCATAGAGGTGCATAGTTCAGGCTTTTAGCTTACCATGTCTTGGCCCAGTTTAATATGTAAAAGTAGATGGAAGTACTTGTTTATTGCTGGAGGTGGAGTGATGACGGTATTACTTTGATTTTTCAAAACAAAAACATTTATTGGCTTTTTTCCTTGTATCTTTTTTTAATTATCCATAGTAATGTTTTCCTAACGCTTTGCCGTAGATTGCTGTGGTGATTGGATTATTGCTTTAACGTTCCCTGTGTTGTTTCCCCAAGCCTCCAGTGGCCTCCGCGCGGCAATAACGCGTCAGCACGGTACCATCCTGAAGGTGGTGTATCCCCAGGTGGACAGCAACCTCCGCAGCGTCGTGGCTGAGCAGCTGGTGGCGCTCCTGGATTGCTTCCTGGATGGCTACGTTGCTCAGCTGAAGTCTGTGGATCGTCTGGCTGATCAGGAGCGGTACAGCAGCATAGAAATGGAATATGTCCAGAAAAGATCCGAGCTCTTGTCCCCTCTCCGTGAGTGCTCTCCGTGTTCTTCAATGCAAAGCTTAAGTGGTCCATTCGATGAGGAAATGGCATCTGTGTATGAATTCTGCTTGCTTTACACAGTTGCTTTCAAAGTACAAATGGCTGGTCTATGACTTAATGAGATAATTAAAAAATAAAAGCAGATTACAAGTTAGCATCCAGGACTGCGCTCCATGTGTGTAACCTCTTGTTAGATGCCTGGGTGCTTGAATTTTTGTCTGCTGCTAACTTGTTGCATTTTTCTGGCAGTTTTTTATTGTGTGCTGCCTGGGTGAAAGTAGCCTGTAAATGGATTCTAAATGTTTATATTGTTGCAAGCTGAGATAAACCTATATCCCTGAAAGCTAGCTTGGTGTTTATCAGTGATTAGTTACTTTTTGAAGCCAAATTATTTAATAATCCTACCCATTGTTTAACGTGTTGGATGTGGTCGAGTCCTGAATCAGTAACCTATAGAAAAGCTCCCTTTTAAAATGGAAATAAGTTGGTGTAAATGCATTTTAGTAACTTGGAAAAGTTTAAATATTTTTGACTGAAGTAAATTATATAAATAGAACAATATAATGATAATTTTTGAGCATTCTTAGAAAAAGCTTCGTAAAATTATCATTGCCCACATTCATGGGCTCTGTTAGCTTATAAATACCTTTTATATCATTATGTTCAATCTAAGGTTCATATTTCTTTACAAACAGAACTAAGTCTTCTGCTGACTCTTACATATTTAACTGAACGAAAAGGAAAATTCTAAGTAGTTTCTCTTCAATGCAAGCCCAATTATCCTTATTTGTTGTGTTCTTTTTCAAAAGCCTATGGCTGCTGCTTTTTTCTTTGTGTATTTAAGTGGCTGTTATTGTAGATGTTAAGTCATGGGTAGAATTACCTCCCCCAGTGCAAATAGCAGATGATGCTAACTTCCAGAGAAAATAGAAGACACGATGCCATTTAGTATTCCCTTTCTCCTTCTTGTGCTGTGGGACAGAGATGGTATGTCTGTGAGTGTGCGTGTGCAGGGGAGATTTATGCAGGAGGGGAATGTTCCTTTGGGAATGTGTGAGTGTCTCCTCGATGGCAACATTTGAAACTTGTTTTCATTTTTCTGGTCTCAGACAAAGGTGAGCTTGTTTGATAAAACTTCTTCTTCTTGGTTATTTAGTTTCACTGGGACAGTACCAGTTGGCAGCTGCTTTAGCAGAGAAGTACTGCGACTTTGATATCCTGGTGCAAATTTGTGAACAGACAGACAACCAGGCCAGGTTACAACGCTACATGACTCAGTTTGCAGATCAGGCAAGTCTATTCTGTTTCCTTTAGGTAGTGTTTTATAATAAGTTTTTATCTGAAATGTTGCAAAATTTACTGTTTCTTTCTGGTGTTTCTTTTCCTGTTTTTTTTAATGCTTATGTAATTATGTATGCATACAGGGGTAATGTGGAAAATTTAAGTCAATATTCACTGTAAAATATTCAACGGAGTATTTTACACTGGGAAGGTAAAGCTAGCCAGCAGAAATGAAGGTACTGCCTGTATGGGCAGTGCCTTTTCACGGCACCTTTTTGGGCCCCAGACATGTTTTCTCACTCTTAGCATTTTGTGATTTCTTCACTCAGGTGCTGTTTCATTACACTGTTGTTTTGTTAAACTAACGTAATATAAAATGGAGGATAATTTCCAAAAGAGATGAAATTGTTAAATATATAAGCAGAAAAGTAATTAATGTGTTAATATAAAAGTAGTTAGGAGAGTAGGAAGGTAGGGCTGTTGCTTTGGGATTTTTTGCATTATCATGCTACATATTTGTTGGACAGTTTTTCCACTGTCTGATAAAATCTAGTGTAAGAATTAAGTGTTCTGAAATATTAGAACGCTTAAGGTAAAGGTGGTAGAGATTACTCAAAATGTGTGGGACTGGAACAAAAAGGTGTTAATTTGAGAATTGGTGAGATGAGTTTGTTTAGCTTTACACAACTATTGGGGAAAGAGAAATCCTGCAGTCTACACATTTCCTAGTAAAGAGAGTACATAAATGTTGTTTAAATAACAAAAACCAGAAGTATCAGTAATAGACAGAAATTATAGCAAACTTGTAAAATAGTGCATCTTAAAATACTCAGCCTGACTGTCAAAGGGGATAAATTACCTTTATTTTTCCCCTCTTCATATGCTTTATTTTAAAGGAGAAATGTAAAACTTCTGAAAAGAAGTTACTGTGGCAAATATAGAGCTGAATAGCTAAGTCTAATGGACTATAAGACTGGTGGCCTCTTCAGACTTAATTTTTAAATTGTTAATGCAATTAAAATTTAGCATGATTCTAATATTGTCCTGAAAAGACTAAATTAAATCTTGAGCAGAAATCCTGATTAGTTATTTCACATTCAAGTTTTTGAGGATAAAATAGGATGATTTTTCTTTTTAAAAAAGTGAGGTTTTATTAAACAATGCCTGAGAGAAAGAAGGTTGCAGGTTAACTTTTAGGTAGGAGGGAATGTTTGAAAAACAGTGACAGCTGAAGTAAACTTGTTTATGAAAGAAAATAGTGAACATGGAGTTTTGAAGGGGGCAAAGAAACAGGTCTGAAAATGAGACAAGAAGAATTGTGATTCCTGTTCTTGTGTATTAATGTGAATAATTTGCTTTTGGCACTTCCATCACTTAAATTGAAGGATTCTGTGTTGATCAGCATCTGTTGCAGAGAGCTCATGAATGCTTTAAATACCTGTCAGGACTCTTATGGGAATTTTTATCAACACTGTAATTTCTGTTGTGTGTGTGTGTCTGGCTTTATCAAGCAGGTTCTTACTATTTTCTTACTAATTGTATTTTATAAATACAATTAGTATTTATAAATACTAATTGTATTAGTATTTATAAATACAGTTATTATTTATAAATACACTTAGAAGGCAAGCCAGATAGTGTAATGTAACTTGTAGAATTTGTTCATATTTCTGTTATATATAGAACTTTTCAGATTTCCTGTTCCGCTGGTATCTGGAAAAAGGAAAGCGAGGAAAGCTGTTATCTCAACCTATTGCTCAGCATGGACAGCTGGCCAGTTTCTTGCAAGCACATGAACATCTGAGCTGGTTACATGACATCAATAGCCAGGATTTGCAAAAGGTAGGGTTTGTTAAATACGGCCAAATGGAAATGCCGCGTGTTGAACAGGTCAGGTGCATATTCAAGTAGGTAATTTACCGAGTTATGACTCTTCCAAATCAAAAGACAGCTTATCCAGTTGGGTTAGGGGAAAGATGGCAAATAATTAATTTGGCACTTCAGGACCACCAAAAGCCTCCCTTCAGGCACTGTCTGGTATTTCATGTAAGCCACTGCACCATGTAATGGAAATTAGGGCTGGGCTGCTTTTCATTCCTGGCTAGTACTTTTTACTGAGGAAGTTTGGTTTGGCTACACAGTCATGACTTTGATGGAGTTGGGGATTTATAGTGAGTATCAATAGCATTATAATATTATCCAGCCAGGGAAAAACTGAAACTTCTCTTTCAAGACTAGCATCTTAAAGCTAAGGAATTTGGAGTTATCATGAAAGTAAAAAAGCCATTGGTAATTTTAATCACTTACATCCATAGATTAAAGTATTTTTAATAGGAGATGTGCATGTGGATAGATTAATGTGACATTGTTTTTAAACACGATCATTTGTTGCCTTCTGGGCTTTTCAGTTGCGTCCCCTCTTCTTGCTTCTCAGTCTTTCCATTGCTCTGCTAGACTTAAAAATGCATTTCATTTAACAGTTAAAAGTATTTCAAATAAAAAATGGCTTCTTTCAATCCATATGCACATTTGTTAAGCATGGAAGCCATGGAAACATTTATTCTCCTGCAAATTATAGGTTCATAATGCCATATCCCTCTTATACAAACAAAAACATCTCACACACAACCCCAACCAAAACAAATTAAAACCACTCTGAGAATAATGTAATACTCTATTTGTGTCAACTGAGGTTTTCTATGTCATGGCAAAGCACTTTGAAAAGCAGGTAAGGAGTCTAAAATATACATTTAATTCTGTGTAGATAGTTTATTTCTGAGTAAGTGCTCAGAAACTGTTCCTTTGTCTGATAAACAAATTCTTGCCTCTGTATTTGGTTACTGCAGAAGTTATACACAACTCTGGTTTTTCAAATTCTTAAATTAACAAGCAAAACAATCTACATGAAGTGTCCTGTCAAAACATATTTGTCTGGCTTTTATTGCAAAGTATTTAATTAGATCCCAAAGATACAATGTGTGAAGTTTCAGTTTATCCTCTGAGAATGTGGTAGGTTTTTTTTATTAGCAATGTAAAGATTTTTAAACATTTTGTTGAAAGAGAGAGCGTCTTCTTGAAGAGTGTGATGCAGAGTTTCACTGTGCAAATTGTACAACTTTTAAAACTAAGGGTTATAGTATTACAAACAATAAATAGCTGTGAGACTTATGTTCAGATAAAATTCTTGTCTATTAACCTTCTGATCCTAATTTACAAAACTGATTTCTAACATCTTTATTAATTTTAGGCACACAGAACATTGCAGACTTTAGCAAATATGGAGACACGATATTTTACAAAGAAGAAAACACTTCTTGGCTTGAGCAAATTAGCTGCACTAGCATCAGACTTGTCGGAAGACATACTACAAGAGAAAATAGAAGGTAAGAGATAAAAACAGGGCAAAGTGAAGAAAGGACTTACTGAATTACTGAATTAGAATCCCATTAATTTTGGAGATTGTTGATTTTTTTACATTGAGGTTGCTGACTTAGTGTGGTAAGGATAAATGGGCTGATGATTTTGCTCATTTTAAGAAGCACAAAGACGGCAGCATGAGGCACTAACCTCAGTGTTCACTTTTATATGTGAGTTAGGACTATGAGCATGGCAAATCTGTACCTTTCCACTTTTTCTACTAACATGTATAATATTGGCAAAAATAACAAGCTGCACCTGTACTTTGAGAAGTCGCTGAAAGTGCTCAACATTTACACTGAATCTATTTTAATGAATCTGCATTTTATATTTCAGATGCAAGGTAAAAATTAATTAATTTCTTAGAGCCCATTTATAGAATGGCTTTCAGTTTTGTATTCTTCTCAAGTCCTGAGGCTTTTAGGCTGTACAAGGAAATCCTGTAACTGTGTTGTAGTGCAGTAATGCAATTGCAGATATATACAGTTGTGATCAAGAAGTGCTTTCTCAGGGTTTTGCTCTCTGTATCGAGGAAGGTTACCATGACAGTGTTTCGCTGTACTCTTTCTGAAATTATGTGAGCAGGAGAAGTACAAATATCTATCCTGCTTCATTACCAAATGCAATGGTTCCACTGCTCTGCCATTCTTACCCCTTTGGAAAATACTGTTTTTGCAGCACGTGCTGTGAGTTTGAGAAAAAGCAATTTTGCATTACTGGTTGAAGGATTCTGGCCACCAGGGGGAAGCTTTGGAGTATGACTCAGGGTTGCTGCTCAAGCTTACTTCTGTTTATCTGCGTATTTTTCCATCTATGTAATGAATAGTTCTTAAAAAATCTTGTTGAAAAAGCCTGGTAATAATTAGGTTAACTAAGTAGGCTTTACAAATTATTTTTTAATTCATAATAATAATGTATTATCTGCCTTTTCAATTGTATAGCACTGCATGAAATCTTGAAGTTTAAATCAGGTTTTTTATCAGTGTGAAAATGCCTATTCTGATGTGAAGAATCTCACCTTTAAATAGGAAAATTTAAAATTAGAAATGAGATAATTAAAGCTTTATTTTAGTGGACTAGAGGACTCTCAAAATTTGTTCTGGACTGCATTCTGCTACACATTTCTGTGTGGCACATGATGTAGTTGTTAAAACTTAAACTCTTTGTGTATCACTTTTCTATTGATGAAGAAGACTTAATTATTTCTGCCACAGTTTGCTTATTCTTCTAAACAGCTAAAATGCTCCAAGAATTATTTGCCTGTTCTAACATGCAAAGCTTTCTAAGTGGAAGTTGGTGGGAAGGGCAGGGTTCGTATAGTGTGGTTGGTATTATTCCCTTTTGGATATCTCAGACTCAAGTTTCTCATCCTAAAGCAGCTCATACTGGCAAGTATAAAACAGTCAAAAATTGAACAGTTCATGAGATGGAACATGTCCATGGCACAGCTCCCTCAAGTTGCAACAAACTCATTTTCCTGTGCAGTGCAACAGCTTCCATCCAATCCTCTGTATTCATTTTGAAGTTTTAGGGCAAAACTAGAGTTATGCATTTTCATTACACTGGGAACATGAGTGGAAAGTAAGAACTAGTTCCCTGGGAGGGCAGTATTGAAGTGGAAGTATTTCTGTGCTTTGGGAACATGGATGAGAGTCCAAAGAGAATGCTTCATAACAAGCGCTTGTAAGCTTGAATAATATTGTGGCTTGACAGTTGTTGTTGTGCCACAAAATTTATTATTATATTTTGGTAACATGAAACATTCATTTCCTTAAATGACTGCAAGAAATATCAGAGCAGGAGCGCTTTTTGTTACATCAGGAGACACTTCCCGAACAACTCCTGGCAGAGAAGCAGTTGAACCTCAACGATATGCCAGTGCTGTCTGCATCTCAGCTCATTGATGTAAGTGTCCCATGTTTTCTTCATTGCACAGGTAAACTTCCAGTATGTTTTCTGCCCCTTTGTGATAAAATAAATGGGAAGGTCACAGCTGCCTTTATCCCTTATATGACTTGCTAAGCACCTAAAGATATGATGTATGAATTAGTTTAACTTCACTTAGTTTCTGCCACCAAACATCAGAATGATGGGTTTAGTCCTTGTTTTTTCTGTTGAACATGTGCTTTGGAGTGCTGTTATGAGAAAAAGCAAAACAGATCACTGCCAGAAGTTGATTTACTGGTCTAAACCAGTTTTTGTATGTGAGACACTTCTTACCTTCCTTTACAATCTTGATAGAGCAGAACTTGGTAGGGCAGAAGGAACAAACAATTCTACCTTAGTGGAGAAGGATGCTGCAAGATAGAAAAAGGAAGTACTAGAAGCCAGAAGAGACTTTTGGTCACCTGTTGCAAAGAGGCGCAGGAAGTCTTTCTACTTTTGTTTTCTTTTACAAAAATCCAACCTGTAATGAAACAAAAATTAGAACTGTTCCATACTGGGTTAAGTAATTGTGCTGACTCCTTTTTCACACTCCTTTCTGGGATCAGCCAGGAACCAGTAGCCTTACTGATTCTGCCTTGTTTGCCACATTTTTTTATCATCCAGTGATAGTAAAAAATACTGGATTTTTTACCAGTTTTTAAAATACTGGTGCTCCACGAATAACAGCAATACATTGAAAAAGAAGTCACTTATATCTGGGAGCCAATATTTTTGTATTTTTCTGTAATCCTGTGGAAAATCAAAAGCTAGCATATAAACAAGCATGCTTGTTTACATTCTCACAATTTTCTTAGAACTGTGCTAATAGCAGATTGTGAAGTCCTTACCTGTATCTTTAAGTAAGGCTATCTGTGGGATAGGGAAGGGTAGGAAGTGTCAGTCAGGACTTGGCAAGTGCTGGCACCGCAAGTTTTCCTTCTGAATTTTCTCTTATTGTCAAACTAGTGTTAATACTTGCTACTTGCAATGCAGAAATGAAACAGAGAAAGTGTAAATTAAAAGAGTGTTAATGTTAATTTTTCTTTGAAGTACTAATTTATAGTTGAGTGATATGAAATATGGAGGGGAACTTGTTGTTTTTAAGAGGTGAAAGGCAACACATGTGCTGAAGTACTGCTTTGAGCTTAATTACGAAAATAATTCAGAGCTTATTTGTGGAGCTGAGCTCTGGCTACAGTAGTCCAGGAATGTTACAGCCTTAAATGGCACTTAAATTTGAAACCCAGCAGCCTTGTATCCAGTATCATTTGTCCACAGACCATTGTCACGTAGGTGGAATGCTGTTCTAAAACCTTAAGTATATTCCTTACTATAAAAATACTAGCAGTTGAATCAAGACATATTTTCATAAGAAGGTCATGTAAGTAGAAAATATGTGGTGGTCTTCCCACAGTGGGTTGTCCCTGATACCAGTTACGTTAGTTTGTAGGCTAAAAATAATTCTCCTCATTAATCTCTGATTTCATAGTTGTTCATATGTGATGAGAACAGAAGAGCCAATGAATATGACTTCAAGAAAGCACTTGATCTGCTGGAATATATTGATGAGGTAGGAAAACTTTTTGAAGGATTTATAACCTAGAGACTTTTTTATTATTATTTAAGCTAGGTTGGTGCATCTGTAGTTAATTAACATATTAGTTTATGGTAAGTAAAGCAACCCCTGGTGTGTTTTTCTCCTTTTTAAGTCACTGGAGACATAATGCCAAACGTAGTTTAGATAATTTAAGAAAAATTACATTCTTCATTTTCACTTCCCATTTATAGTCTATAGTTTCTTTTTAGAGCCTTGCTTCCCTACAGGCTGTCTCCAAACAGGACAAAGATCAACTGGTTTTAGTAGTTCAGTTCTTGTGTCTTCCCTCTTGACAGTTTCACTGATTGTCCTGAGGTAATGTGGGATAGTCACCACTTTCTAACATGTAAATAGCTTTGAACCACAGATTTGCCATCCGCTTTTTTCCAATTGTATTTTTTTTATCTCAATAAAATAAAATGTTACTCTAAACCCATGCAATTGCAAATTTTTTTTCCCACAGATATTAACATTTCTAACAACTTGTGTAGAACCATTCAGCACAAATTGGAGATGGTGGTTTCTGTGCAATGAAGAAACTGCCCTTTTCAAATAAAATGTGTATCTGTGAAAACATTTACTAATGTATTCATATAACATGTCTTAATTCTGGAAAAGCTAACTAAGACGCACTAGTGTCCACGTTAAGAGCTTTGACTCCATCATTGAGCACAGGGTAAAATCAAATTTGCCTAGAATACAATGTTTTACAAATTGTTATTTTTGTGCCCTTTTACAAGCTGTGTTAGTTGATTGTCAGCAGTCAAGTGGTGCTGTAGAAAGTCTGAATCCATGATTTCATATGGAAACAAACGGTGTTTGGTGTTTCAACAGTCCAAGCAGATCATCTGTTAAAACAGCATATGTTAAAAATTGTGTTTGGTGATTGAAGAATCTAATTCATTGGTGCAATCTGCATGACAGTGTGATTATTTCTTTGTAAAAAACCCTAGAATTTTAATATGACTGTCTTTTCTCTTTATATGAATTGAAGGAAGAAGAAGTGGATGTAAATGATCTTAAACTTAAAATTCTCTGTAAGGCTCTCCAAAGAGATGGGTAAGTATACATATAAGTTACTGAGACACAGCTTTTCCAGAATTATATTTTAGTGTACTATTCTCTAATTCACCAAAAATACTTAATTTCGCAGGATAAGGTTAGTAAAGTATAATGTGTCTGATCAGAATATGTATTCTTATTTGTTAAGTGAAACCATAGCAAAAATAAATCTGCAGTATTCTGTTGTTTATCTCACTGGCAACGTACTGTGCAGTCCTGGCACTTGATGCAGAAATGAACCCATGCAGCTTTTGTTCTTGAACCCTTTCCTGAGGTAAAAGAAGTTCAATGCTGAACCTTTTTAAACTTTTTTTTTTTCCTTTGAAGCATCTCAAGTAGAAGTTTTTAAATAAGATTACAGGCAGAGGTCTTTTCTGAAAGGTTTTATTTCACTTGGATTTTGCTGTTGAACCACACTGGTAATTTCATTACCTTTTTGAGTTAAAACTGCATTTTTGGCTCTAAGAGATCAAAGCCTTACCAGTACTTAGAAGAGCCACTCTTGTGGGTGTTCAAAACCAAATACAGGCAGAATCCAGTTGGTCACAGGGATCTTCTCATCAAACAGTGGTACTATTCTTTCCCAGGTTAAATAACACAAATGGCATTTCCTCCCTTTCCTTTCCAACTCTCAGAAGCCTTCCGACTTTCCTAACTCCAACCTATGTTCCAAGAGGAAGCTAAGGAAGAAAAGATGGGGAGAGAATGCATTCCAAATGCACTGTGCCATTTGTGATTAAAATGGAAATAAGCAGCATTTGGATTCACACTTATGCATAGAATAGAGTCCAAATGGCAGTGGTGTCTAGGAAATAATTCCTAATTGCATGGATAAGTTATGTCCATATATAACAAATCATAAGCAGAGAGAGGTTCACACCATTCCAAGTGTTTTCCCTTCCTGTAATTTTAAAGACAGAAGAACTCAGAGCTCCTGCATGGCACCAGTCCATTTTTTGGTTTATGATCTATCCACCCTGGACAAGCACGGGGTTTTGAGTGTGGTATTTTAACAGTTCAAACATGTACAAATGTGACAAGATTTTGGCCACTCTGGCAGCTAACCAGAGGCAATTTGAGATGCAGACTTTACACTGAATAGTGGGTAGAAAACTTGATGTCCCATCTGAGTTTCCAGTCCAGCGGAGCTCACAAAGGCTTACAGAGAGGTGGTGTTAACTTTCACCTGTGTGCAAAAGTAAACATTCGAGATGTGACAGTGCCTACTTTTGAGGATGGCCTGTGGTTTCTAACTTGAGGGCTACAGATGGTGAGAAGGTTTCTTGCGTAGGATGGAGAGCCTTGCTGAGTGTGCTCCTGATGCTCTGCTTGTGTCCTCACTATCCTCCTCTGTGCCCAAGGGGAGAAAATCCCCCTTCCCTCCCTCCTTTCCTCACATTCTTCCCAGTGGAATTAAAGATGTAATCCTAGACATTTAGGAGCTGAAGAGACATCGAGGGAAAAGCCAGTGAAGTACAGAGGATTTGTCAATAATAGCTTCTGGATCCAGGTTCAGATCTGTTACAAGCACATCCCACAGGCCTGTGGTGGTTTAGGGAGTGATATGAGAACCAGTTTTGTCTGACAGCTTAGCACATGGGACAGGAAATTTTAACAACTGAAAGGTTAGAATCACAGCAGAACAAGTTAGGTTGGTGTTGAATTTAAACTGGAGCATATAAAGCTCTGCAAGGATGAAAAATTGTCATTTAAAACAATCTTCCTCGTAGAAAAATCTGTTTGGGATTTTTTTTTATCACAGATGAAACTGGTGTTGATGAGTCTTTATCTTTAATCACAGAGCAGATAAACTATTTGTTTTGTGATTGTGTGTGTTGTTACAGGCCTGCAACTTAGATATTGCAATTTTTTCCTCATTTCTTTTCTCAGTGCTTGATATTTGTTTTGTTTTGATTTTTTCACATTAGAGAATTGCTTCTCTTGTTTTTTTCTACCAAACTTTCATCACCTCAATTGTAAAGTGTAATTACCGAGAATAGGTAGTTCTTACCTCAATGAATAATACTTTTATATTATCAAAGAAATAATGTTGTTTGCGTGGGATTTTTAATGGTTTAAAAATGGGAAGCATTTCTGTCCTCCTCCTAACTAGATTACATTATAGTAGAGTAGTTTTGTTCCAGTTTTCCTGGAGTAATGACTAATTGACACAAGGTAGAAAAAAAACTCTGGCTTTGAACTATAAACAAGCACATAATGCTTCCATATGGACGTGTATTAATCACCTTTGATAATTTATCTAATTTTCCTGTAATTTGTTTTTTTTTCTCTTGTTACTGTTCCTATTATTTTGTCTGTGTAATTCTTTCCCAAAATTATTCTTTGACTTGCAGATGGTCCTGTTCAGATGGTAGAGATGATCCAATTGAAGCGTCTAAAGATAGTATATTTGTGAAAATACTGCAAAAGCTGTTGAAAGAAGGTAAAGTGTACTTAAATATAATTGAATGAAATTGTTGTTTCAAAAGCTGCTTAAGATCAATGTGTAAAAAGTAGCATTATTAAATTCTCAGAGTAATAAAAAATTCATTCCACTAGGCAGTTAAAATCATTTGGAGCTAATTCCATCTGTAAACTGTTCAGGGAGATAAGAGATGAACAGATTTCTTGGTGGTAATCTGAGTATCATTATTTGCTCAGTAGAACACTCAGTAGATTTTTAGCAGTTGCTTACTGTACAGTAAAGTAGGTCTTCTGGGGGTAAATATATCTTCTGTAAGATATAGGATAGTAACTAATTGACTGTCACACAGTAGAACTTAATCTATTTTAGCCAATTTTTTTTATTTTGTTTTTTCTCTCTAAAAGCTAAAGCAAAAAAAATATATACCTCCCATTCTCCACTTAAAGCTGACTATAGGAAGTTATGGACATGGAATTTACAGATGGAGGAGGGAGGGAGAAAAAGGAAGCAACTGGGAGTCAAAGCCTGTTTCAAATATTACTGCATAGAAACTTTTTGCAGAACACGAAAGGCTTCATGTAAAAAAGACAAAACTTAAGTACTTCAGAAAAGTTCCAATTTTGTGTGTACAATCCTGTCAATTCCCTTGCATTTTTAAGACTTGCAGACCCTATGCTGGAACTGTTGCAACTGATATATAGTTATTGTATGACTGAGCTTTCTTTTCTCTTGCCTTTCTTTTATTTATTATTTATTTATTTTGATGAAGTGCTATGTAAAGACTTGAATTTTAGGTTTAATCATTGAATTACTAGACTCTGGATTAAAAAAAAAAAAACTCTGTTTTACAGGCTATTTAAGCTTTATTGTATTTCTTGACATGTGTAATAGAATCAGAGCTTTCCAGTTCCAAAAGAGTAATTTAGCTGTGAGGTAGGCAGGGTGTTTACTTAAAAATGATATTAACTGCTAATGCAAAGTACTTTGATCAGTGTTGTAATAAATGCTTTTGTTTTGTAGGAGTTCAGTTAAGTGAGTATTTACCAGAGGTGAAGGACTTGCTTCAAGCAAATGAACTCGGCAACTTGAAATACAACTCTTACTTTGAATTTGTGTTAAAAGCAAACTATGAACTCTATGTTCAGGGACAAGCATGATTCTCACTGGGATTTTAAAATATTTTTTCTAAAGAACTTTTGAATTCATATTTGCTTTTTTATATTCTGTTTGGTTTTTTGCTAAAGCCTTGTGATAAAGTCTGTATGAGTAGTATACTTGGTCTTAAATGTATAGACATTGATGCTTTAGTCAGGGGACGCAGAATTGTGTTTTCAGGTGAAATAAAAATAAAGTTTTCATTTTCAGTGCCTTTCATAAACTTGCTGTTTTGTTCTGTATCTTGGTTAGAACCTGTCCTGTCTGAGACTCAGGGATACACAGATACACAGGGTGAAACACAGGGACCCACTGCAGAGGGTGGGAAACTTGTGTTGTCACTGCTGGGGCTGTGATTTTCAGTTCAGAGAAAATACTGAACACATCAGTGCTGGGTGACTGCATACATTGCTTAAGAAACAGGTTATTCTCTCTGGCAACTCCACTCTTTGTACAACACGTTTTGCTGTAGAAACTAGGTAATTTCAGTTTTCCATTAAAGGTTACTTGCACAAAAAGGATCACTGGCTCGTCACTGATCATTCAGCTTGTCTGTGACAGAAAGGAATAAAGTGCAGCTCGCATTCAAAGCCTTCTGGTCCAGTAAATACTCCATTCTTTCAGTTCATATCTGTTAAATTAAACTTTTTTCAAACATTTTAGTATTGTATCCATTTAACTTCCCTTTAAGTTATTTCTAGTATACATGTAAAATGGGATTAGCAGCTCACCATGCAGTCATTCACAGCAACTGCTTGTGCCTAGGCTCAGAAGAAACCTCGAAAGCAGTTATGAAAGTGTGGGAATACAGCATGATCTTCCTTACTCCCATGCCTTGGTCTCTACTGGTAGGCACTACTAATTTCCCTTTTTCCTTTTTAACCCCAGTGCCACAGTTAGTTATCTCTGACAAGGGAATAATTTTTTTTAAAAGCCAATTTCTCAATTATTTTGATTAACAGCAGAATTTAGTCTTTTAATAAAAGTTACTGCAATCTGATGTGTTGCACCTTTATTTTGCATGTAGCTCAAGAGCCAGAAACTGACTGCAGAGCAACTTGCACACCCTTATGTTTTACTTGTCTGGCTCCATGCCTGCTGCAACAACTTGATCTAACAGCTGAGAAGGTCAGAAGTTAAATTGGTTGAAGAGAATCCAGTTTCTAGTTTTAAAAGCACAGCTCCCCTTCCGTGGCTTCCCCTCCTCCCTGTACTAATACAGTAAGCTGGACTGAGAGTCTGAACATGTTTGGAAGAATAGATTTATGTAGAGAGGTTCAAACTAATATGGGAAAGAAATGCACTAGCAGTCATCTTCTAAGATTGTTCTAAGCAGCAAACTTTGCTCTTCTGCAGTCTTGCATGGCTGGGAAGTGTGAGTGTAACTCCCAGCTCCGGCTTCAAAGGAGTTGCTTGTTTAAGCCTTGGAAGAATTCCACGTGTTCGCCTGAATGTCACTTTGAGGGCGGTTTCACATCGGTAAACTTAATGGGGTTTTGGGAGAAAGGGACTAATGGAAGAAGTGGTTGCTTGCCCCTGCCAAAATATATTCTGCCTTAACTTCTCCTAGACTCCTGAATTTTGCTTGAAGAGCAATCTCTTTGATTGTCCACCATGTGTCACTTTGGGGATATCTCATATCTTCTAGACTGTTGGCCAGATCTCTCTGTTCTGTCAGGAGTGGCAGGGCAAGCCCTGGAAAGCTTGCTCCCGATGCAAGTGGTTCTGATCACCCTTATCCATTGTTTCAAAGTGCCTGGGTTCTCTGCTGCATCATGTTTGTCATGGTTGGTGTAAAAGTGTTATCCAGGATTTGGGAAAGGATGAGCTGTGTAGGGTTTTCAACTATTCTACTCTACTGCTGGGTTGGGAGGCTCTTGGCATTTATACAACAGCTTTCCATCTGACTATTGCCAAAACAGAAGGCTACTTACAATGAGTTTACTTAAACAAAGCCTCGTTAAAATAACTTCCATGTCTAAACAGATGTTTAATGTTCTTGTACTAGTGATGTTGAACTGGTTCTCTATTCTGTTGGAAAGTTTGAAGAGTCTGGGATTCAGGATTATTCCTCCTCTCTGTCCTCTGCTTCATTATGCAATTAACTGTGCTGGTGCAGAACCCATGTCTCAGACTACTGCTCCAGGAGGATGCCTTCATTTACCACTGCATGTGGAAGGTGGCAAATGCCACAGCTCTAGCTTGTTTCTAAGTGTAACAAAAACAAACTTGTGACAAAAAGATGAGAGTTAAAACTGCCTGAGGGGGATGGATAGCCCCTCTTGAATAAGGATATATGTTGTTTCTTAAATAGTTATTTTCTCAGTACTGGAGGGCACACAACGTATGGGAGTACACATTTGCATCCTTTGCTGTTGCCAGAGCAGCAGGAAAGTTTTTCAGTTGTCATTTGTGATCAGTTTCAGAAACTATGCATGGTGGATAGTGAGTTCTTTGTGCCCTGTACTGGAAACTAACTCCAACTGTTCTCTGACTTGAGACAAGAACCACATTCATTTAGTGAATCCAGATAAACATCAGATCTACCTGCAGAAAATGATATTTTACTCAGAAGTGGGAGAATTTAACATTGCCATTTGGGTACTTTGCTGTAAACTAGATTGGGATAGAGAAAAAATAAAAGGGAGCAGAAGGGATAGAGTGGGTTTATGCTTGCATCATGTTTCATTGCAGGATTAAGGATGTTTATCTTTCAGCGACGTTAGGGTTTCTGTTACTTGATTTCTGATTCAACACAACCAGCCGTATTTTGGAAACCGCAATGAAGCACTACAGCTCTGTAAATAGATTGGTGGTTGTGATGCCTTTAAGTGCTCACAGGCTTCCGACTTTTGTACTGCCAGTTGTTGATGACAGAACTGAAGAATAATACAAGTTGAGGAACAGAGTGAGAGAAGAGCACATTTTAATAACAACTTGACAGGAATTCAAAATTTATAGCAGAAGGAATTAAATGGCTGCCAGAGGTAAAGAAGAATGCTGCCAACCTGGAGGATGAAGAAGTTAAACAGAGGAGAAGAAAAGTTGTCTGCTTCTCTGTTGAGCTGTCTGCTCTGCCTTGCAGTGGAGGAAATCACCTGCAGAAATACCTTCACTTTCAGGAGACTCCTCACAGCACAGTGCTTCTAGCCTACTATTGCTCTTCCTTCTAGCCTGACTCCCTAAATTTTCAAAGGATTTACACTTGACCAATTGTGTCTTCAGAGAGGATCATGAAGGTTGATTTGCATCAACATAGTGTCAGGGCTGCAAATCTGCTTGCATTACTGCCTCTTCTTTCCGCTGGAAACCAAGTATCTGTAAAATCTTCCAAGTGTCCCACATGGAATCTCTGCCTAAATACCCATATCTGAAGGAGATGAGCTGTTCCTTTTCACTTGCATGGTACTTCCAGCTCGTCAGGGATGACTTGCCTGTGAGACTGCACTCCTTTTGGAAAGGGTGAGCGACAGGGATAGCTGAAGGGTTCCCGTGTTGCCTGGCCGAGCTCAGTGGCCAGCAATGGGCACTCGTAATGGTACCAGCATTCACGGCTACGTCAGGCTTCTGGGATCAGACTAGGATTAATCCTTTACCAGGCTTCTCTTCAGGCATTTGTCTGACAGATGTTACCCCATGCATTTATTTTCCACTTTTAAATCACAGCAAGGAAATGATGCACGTCTTTAACTTGATGTGTAAAATTGTGGGTTTTGCATGGGCTGTTGCTCCGTGTGCCCTGCAAACTAGAGATGTACCTTGTCATTTCTTCTCTCCCAGTTCCCTTTCTCCCCCATGGCTCACCTACAGCTATGGGAAAGACCCGGGAGAGACGCGTTTCCCTTCGCAGCCCCAAGCTTTGGCACGTGGTGGCCGCGGGGCCGATGCCTCTCGCCGTCTGCCCCGCTGAGCCCCGCGGGGCTCCCGGCCGTCCCCACCTGCTTTGCCCTTAACGGGGCCGCTGGTGCCGGGGAATTATTTCGGCCCCGGCTGCGGGCGGTGGCGGGGGGGGCTCGGCAGACGCGCCTTATACGGCCGGGCCCGGCTCACCTGGGCCGGGGCCAGGAGCGCCTTCTTTGGGCACCGCCGGGCCGGGGCCGCGCCGGGCCCGACGCCCAAATATGGGGACGGCCGGGGCCGCATTCCTGGGGGCCGGTCGCTGCCGCCGCCCGCCGTGATAAAAGGCTCGGCGGCGGCTGCGGCGGCCACGAGTGACCCGGCGAGGAGCGGGAGCCTCTCTCTCTGCCCGACGCGCGGAGCCCGCAGCCAGCCCAGGTAAGCCCCGGCCCCGCCGCCACCGCCCGCGGCTGCCGGCCGGCCGTGAGGCTCAGCCCCGCTGCCCTGTGCCCCCGCAGACACAGCCGAGACCATGTGTGACGAGGACGAGACTACCGCGCTCGTGTGCGACAACGGCTCCGGCCTGGTGAAGGCTGGCTTCGCCGGGGACGATGCCCCCAGGGCCGTGTTCCCCTCCATCGTTGGCCGACCCCGCCATCAGGTACGGCTCACTCCCCCTCCGAGCCTCCCCGCACGCCCTGCCACAGTGGTGGTTGCGGATCCCTGCTGCCTTCCAGCCCTCCGCATCCTCCTGTCTTGCTGGGGAGCCCCGTGCTGCTGCCCTTGGAGAGGTTGCTGAGCCCCCGCTTTCCTCCCCTGCAGGGCGTCATGGTGGGTATGGGTCAGAAGGACTCCTACGTAGGAGATGAAGCCCAGAGCAAGAGAGGTATCCTGACCCTGAAGTACCCCATTGAACACGGCATCATCACAAACTGGGACGACATGGAGAAGATCTGGCACCACACCTTCTACAATGAGCTGCGTGTCGCCCCAGAGGAGCACCCCACTCTGCTCACTGAGGCCCCCCTTAACCCCAAAGCCAACCGTGAAAAGATGACCCAAATCATGTTTGAGACCTTCAACGTCCCTGCCATGTATGTGGCCATCCAGGCTGTGCTGTCCCTGTACGCCTCTGGCCGTACCACTGGTGAGTGCAAAGTCCTGCTGGCTCCTCTTCCCCAAGCAAGGATGCCCAGGACTGGTCCCCTACATCTGACAAGAACTCTGCCCCCCAGGGCAGGACCCTCTGTGGGCCACATCTCTCATACGGATGCTTCTTGTCTCCCCAGGTATCGTGCTGGACTCTGGTGATGGTGTGACACACAACGTCCCCATCTATGAAGGGTATGCCCTGCCCCATGCCATCATGCGCTTGGATCTGG